GACCTCGCTCTGCGTTTTATCCTCTCCCACCCACCCCCCCAACCTCCTTTCCCTGGAATGCTTTCCTCTCCGTAATTTGTGAGGAAGGGGGCAGGGGAAAAAGGGGGATCTAAGGAGGGTGGCGGGGAGGGCGCGGGGTGCCAGGGGGAAGGTCTCTCCCTCTTCCCGTGACGCCAATCCTATGGCTGCCCCTGCAAGAAGGTCACTGGGATTAAGGGAGTGAGAGCTGCAGCACCGAGCCGGCAGGGAGAGATTGAGGTCTCGGCCGGGGAGTGGAGAAGGGAGGGCTGGGAGAGGGAGTGGAGGAGACACATGCGTACCGGAGCAAGGCAGAGAGGCGTCAGGCTGGCTTTGGGAAAAATAAAATAAAAGCAGTGCCAGGCGGGGGAAATGAGGAGGGAAAGGAAAGGTGGCCTGCTGCTGGCGGTGGGGTTGGATGGATGGTGTCCTCTCTGGGTGACATGACTCGGAGGGTGGCCAGAGAGCCCCGGGACAGCTGAGGATGTGATTAATGCAGGCAGTCCATCTGTCCGTCTGTCCATCTGCCTGGGTTTGTTTACAGTACAGCACATGATGCCGGGAGCAGGCTGGCTGCACCCGGGCTGCCGCTGGGCACCGGCCGAGGGGGTATGTGTGCCCCCCGTGCCTGGCCGGCTGGAGCCAAGCCAGCCTGCGCGCCTGGGGATGATGGATGTGATGTGACCTACAAAGGCTCTCCCACTGCTAATCTCTGTGGCAGAATTTCCTCTTTCTCTCTCTCTCCCTCTTGGTCTGGTGGTGGTGTTTTGTTTTTTTCTTCCCCTTCATCCGAGCACTGCGGGATTTTGGCTTCCCAGAGGCACCAGGTGAGGGAGAGAGAACAGGAAATATGTTTATTTTTTTTTAATTAGGCACCTACTCTGCTTCAGAGTATCTCAGATGCTATTGGCTCGCTCTCTGAGCTCAGCTCCGTGCCCTGCAAAGTCTACCTGGGCAAGGAGCCCTTCCCGGGGACCGGCATCTCCTTGGGACCCCGCGTCATTTCCCTGCTGTCTCTCTGACCTTGACAGAGGACAGGACTGGATTTACCCCCGGCACTTCACTCAGCCGCGGAAATTAAAATCCTTTTGCAGGAGCTGGAGGTGCTCCTGGTCAGCGGTCCAGCATGGGAGGCTGGCCTGGCCGTCGTGGCGCGAGGCTACGCGTGCGCCTCTTCTCTCTCGAAATACGAATGAATTCCTTCTCCTGCTTTTCCACTGGCTTGGTCTTGTCTCTCCTCCTGAGCATGTCTCCCTCCACAAAGCCGGGGAGCCACAAGCTCACTCCAGATATTTAGTTGTGGTTTTGTTTTTTGTTTTAAGCTTGAGACTAAGAGGGGTACTCATGGGCATTAAAGTCCTATCTCAGGCTGTCACATTTATGGCCCCGTCCATAAATTGGTCAAACTTTGCTGGAAAAAGACTAATTCATGTTTTTTTTGCCCTTCTCACTCCCTCTGGGAGAGGGTTCAGCGGCTCTGAAGGCCAAGGCCTTCCACTGTACATCTATTTGTGATTGGGGTTTTATCCGTTTGCTTTTGTGCTCTTGTGCCCTTCAGTTTAAATGGCGCTTTTTCCTCCCTGGTGTTTTCCCCTGGGTGTATTTATAGGCTGTGATCGCATCCGCACTTAGCCTTTCTATCACCAGGCTCTACCAGCTAAACTCTTCTGGTGGCGACGGGGTCTCCCTCCGCGTGGTCTCTGTGAGTCCTTCCTTTCACCCACTCTGCCATGCACAGGGAGCACCTTGCCTGCCATCTCCTGAGATCTCATTTGCCTTCATCCTGCTCGTGGCATGGGTGGTCCATCATCTCCCCGGGGCGAACTGGAGGCTCCTTTTGCCCCATTTCACGTGATGAGCTTTCACTGAGAGCAGAAGTTCTCGTGATCGCTTCCCCAGGCAGTGACCTTGTGCTCAGGTCATGCTGCCTTTTAGCAGACTTTGTGATGGCACGGAGGTGCGTATGGCTTTCTACCAACAGGCAGCAACACTGGCTCCTGCCCATGGAGTCTGCAGCCCAAGTGAGATGGCGGCAGATCTCCAGGGAGACCTGCAGGATCAGGAACAGATGGGGTGACTGAAGGTTATTTATGTTCCTCCTTGCTGAGGAGGAGATGGGATAGGTTTGACAAGGAGGATGCTAAACTATGGAAAGAGGTTAGCAATTCTGGAGCATCTGTCCACCGTGACAGTGTTGTGAGGCAGCTCAGGTTTCTTGGGTGCTTTGGAGGTCAGGCACAGCAGAGTGAGTATGCATCTCCCTATAGAAAGGTTGCCTGGCATGGGTGCTGGCAAGCGGTGGTGGTCCTGCAGAGTGCCCATGTCAGGTTTGATATTCAGCCTCAGCATCAGCCATTTCTCTGCTGCTGCCTGTCCCAGATACACTTGCCTGGAAGAAGCAGCACCTTGTAGTGCAGGGATGCAGCGCTGTGGAGCAGTCCCTCCTGAGCATCTCTGCTGCGGATGCCTCCGAGGGCATCTGGATCTTGCAGTGAGGGGACTTGTCCAGTCTGGCCGGACTGAGGCTTGCACAACAAAAGCAATGAGCTGCTGGAAGATCCCGGAGGCTTCCCCACCTCTCTGTGGGGAAAAGCAGAACAACTCCCTCCCTATTCCCAGTGGCGGTGACGAGAAAACAAGCATCTTGCCCTGTTGCAATGGGTGGCTGGGGTTTTCTGTTGACTCCTGGTCTTTCAAGGCATTGCTCCATGCCATGCCCCTTCGCTTGCCACCGGCTGCAACACAGAGGTGTACTCTGAGCTGAGCTGCATCACACAGCCAGTGCCCTACAGTAGATGGGACATGGGTGCATGGGTAGGTTCTTTACCCCGTGTTGTGGTTTAATCCCAACCAGCAGCTAGAACCACACAGCTGCTTGCTCACTCCCCCCAGTTTGGATGGGGGAGACAACTGGAAGAGTAAAAGTGAGAAAAAAACCCTTGTGGATGGGTAGACCACCTATGCCTAATAGGAAGAGCAAAAGCTGTGCATGCAAGCAAAGCAAAACAAGTAATTTCATTCACCACTTCCCATCAGCAGGCAGGTGTTCAGCCATCTCCAGGAAAGCAGGGATCACACAGAATGGCTACTTGGGAACACAAACACCATCGCTCTGAATGTCCCCACCTTCCTTCTTCTTCCCCCAAATTCATATACTGAGCATGACATCACATGGCATGGAATATCCCTTTGGTCAGTCATGATCATCTGTCCCACCCATGTCCCCTTCCAATTTCATGTGCACTCCCAGCCTGCTTGCTGGCGGGGCGGTGTGAGGAACAGAAAAGGCCTCGACTGCTTAGCAACAACGAAAACCAGTGCGCTATCAAAAGCATTTCTCATCCCAAATCCAAACCATAGCACTATACCAGCTGCTAATACAATAAGTTAACTCCATCCCAACTGAAACCACAACACCACCCTGCCCTGTGAACCTGCTTTCAGCTCGCTTAGATGGCCCAACAGCTGGAACCAGTAGAGCAACAGCTGGAGCTACTGGAGCTGGGTGACCCACACCGAGCTGGAGCTGCGCAGCAGGATTGTTCTTGAAATAAAGCAGGCGAGCGTGGGCACAGCCCTATGTAATCCCATCGCACCCTGACCCACAGTGGTCTCCGCAGCCGGCGCGGGGGTGCTGAGAGGCTCCTTTGCGACCCACAGGCGTTGGATGTAGCGCTGCCTCCATAAATAAGTAAAATGCTAATTGAAACAGGTTGTTCCAGGCGCTCCCAACTGCTTGGAAACCTGCTCACTGGAGAAACCGAAGCGCTGTTCGATGTAAAGGCAAAAGGAACTTGCTTTTTGGAAGCAGGCCCCACTAGGTGGCTTGAGTGAGAGTATTTCCAACTGCAGCCACGCAGGCAGAGCAGCCCATTAAAGCTTTCCACATGGATTGAGATCTCTCTGGCGCCAAGGGCATTGCCCCTCTGGGGAGAGAGGTCCAGTGAGGAGAGGCGCTGCCTGCCCTCCTTCTCCTCCTCCATTGCCTGCTGCCGTTGCCACCACATCCCCTGGCTGGTGGGACCACGCAGATGTTTCAAGCTGGGATGGGGAGCTCTGTCCCCTGTCTCTGCAGGCATGTCCCGTCCCGTCCCAGGCAGCTCCGGCAGAGCACGCAAGGCAGGTGAAGGACAGGAACCGTGTCCCTGGCCTCACTGTGACAGGCTGGCACCTGTGAGCTAGAGGACAGGGACAAGTCCCAGCATGGCAGGGAGCCCCGTCTCCTGTCTTGCCGGCGGGTCTTGGCTTGCCATGCTGACTCCCAGCTTACAACACCTGTTGCCTCTTCCCCCCACGCCGCCCTTTGCCATACGGAAAGGACACCTGGCGTGGGCTTCCGGTGGCAGTTAAACCGAGCCTTAGAGCCCAGGGGCCATGTTAGTCTGAAACCAGCTAGCTGCAACCTTCACCTTCTTTCTGTCCCAGCTAAATTTAGCTGAGGTGTTCCCTGTGTTCGTGGACCATAGCCCACGCTCTCTGCCTCTGCTCCTCCACATGATTTTTGCCCCAGCCACCACAGTCACTGGTTATGTGCTTGTGAGATACGTTGGTGCATGATGAAAGTAAGTTGGCAGTTCAAAGCACGTGCTTTGAGTCAAGCTCTAGGTATGGTTCTTCATGGGATCCCCTTCCTTGGGTTGGCTTCAAAAGGTTTTTTTGGGGGATTGCTGTCACTGGGATTGGGTGAAAGGCCACGTCAGAAGATGAGCAATAAAGGTGCAGATACACAGGGTGATTCGGGGTTGGATGCAGCAGGTCGTGTTGTTTCCAGTATAGCATTTCCAGGAAAGATCTTAGAGCAGGAACAAATCTCATTAATGGCATTTGCAGGTAAAATTTTAAGGAATAGCACATATCGGCCAAATCTGCTATTTCAAAACAGGAGAGGCACACAAGTGAGGAACAGAGAAACTGTATGGAGATGAAACATAGCTAAAGCAAACATTTGTGGCAAAACAAGGCAGCAGAGAGGACTGGTGTGGTGGTGAGAGGAGCAGGCGCAGGTGGCAGTGGATACGGTCCTCCACCTAGGTTGGCACAGCCAAGCCGAGGAGGGAGAGATGCGTTGCTAGAAAGAAAACTGAACTCTTCCTCGTGGAAAAAGACGTGACTTTTGGGCAGTCACTTTGCTGAGCAGCGACCTAGTGATGTAGGCACCACCTGGAAAGCACAGAAGGACCTGGATACCACCATGGAGGTGTGGGCATGGGGAGTTGTCACTAGTAGTGGTGGGACAGCAGATGCTATTTGACTACGGCAAGAGCGTGAGATCTGCAGGACTGGATGGAGCTTCCCAAAGTCGCTCTCTGGGACACAGCCCCCTCTTTCACCAGCAGGTCCCTTCCCATGGGAAAGCTCTTCCTTCCTCCCCTGGGTGGCATGCATGGCTGCTTGGCCAGCTGCCATTGGAGACTTCCCGGCTGCTGGTTCCCAGGGTGCCCCAGCATGGCCCAGGGCTTGGGCTGCTGCACAGGGGAAGATCAACCAGGGTTCCCTAGCACGGGTCTGGCAGGAGGTGGAAGGGTTAATGGCTGGCCTGTTGGCTGCCAAGCCATGTGTGAAAAATAATGCCGGCTGGCCAGGAAAGCCTGTCCCAGATCCCGTGGCAGGAATTAGGGATGCAGAGCCCTTCTCCCCTCCATCACCTGCTCTGGCTCAGCCCCGGCTGGGGAGGTGGTGGGCTGGGGATCTGGTGCCACGTGGCTGCTGGCCAGGGAGGGTGAGCTGGGATGGAGGTGCTGGCATACCCGGGCTCTTCCCTCGCCCAAAGCTCAGGGAAATTGGGTACAAATGGGTATGAGGAGGCTGGTCCCCTCCAGCACCTGCACAGGGCTCAGATACTCCATCGAGACCGTGGGCAGGAGTCGCTCGCTGCCTGCGTGGTGCCTGCTGGAGGGAATAAATATAGGCTGCCTGTTTCCAAGCTGCCAGTCCCATGCGTATCAAAAGCTGCATATGTTTCCTTCAAAATGAACTAAATACAAGTAGATTTAATGATGATTATAATAATAATAATAATCCACGTCTGTGCAGAGCTCTCCAAAGCTTTCCAGAAACTCCATTTGCGAGTGGCTGCATGAAAATGAAAGCCAGATCAGTTCTGCCAGTTTATCGTTTGCACTCTTCCCTTGCTCTTGCTTTCTTTTTTAACAGATTTATTCCTGGTCATTACCAGATCAGACACAGAAGAGGTTATTGCTTTATTCTGCCCAAGGTGGATTTGATTTGAAGTCCCACGAGGAATATTATGTGACTATTTCCTCTCTCTAATAGAATAAAAAGGGGGTTTGAGAGAGGGAGAGACAACACGCACTGCGACAGAGCCTGTGACCAGCGGGCACTGCAGTGAGCCCAAGCAGGCGGCTTGACAGAAACCCTTTTCAGCCTCATCCCCGCTATGACCATTTTGGGGATCTCGGGGATGAAGTCAGGAGGCAGCATGACAAACTCCCGGGATGAGGTGCAGGAAAATCCTAGTGCACTGCCGGAGGCTGGCGGTGCCGTGGCTCCATCACATGATGCTCAGGAGCGTCTGAGGCAGGGCTGGGGATGGGCAGTGTGGTGGAAAGCCTCACATGATGTTCAGGAGGTTTTGCCTGGCTTTCTACAGGGCTGAGCCTGCAGCGAGGAGGTGGGGAGGGACTGGAGAGCCTCTCCTCTGAGGGCTCATCTCTCGCCTTTGCCTCTGGCAAAATCAGATCCCCCAGTTCACAGTGAGAGGGAAAAAAAAAAAGATATTTTATGGTGGAATGCAACCTTTTGCCTGTTCTGCACTATTCTTGCTGTAATGAGCCCTTGCACACCTGTAATGGCTAGCATGAGCCCCTTGAGAAACCAGGACAGGGAAACTCTCAGCCTCTTCCCATCTCCCCCCTGCAGTGCTTAGCATTACATTCATTTTGCTGCGTCTTTTGGCAAGTTGCTCTGTCTCTGTCAGCTTTGCCCGGCTTTGGGCTTCACTTGGTGCCTTGGAGCTCTTTGATGGAAACAGAAGTCTAGGAAAATCATTGCAAGAACTTGTGTGGAGGTGATGTTTAAGGAGTGGTGAAGTCAAGAAAAGCTGGGTCCCAGCAGCAACGCTGGGTTGGTGACATCTTCTCCATGTGCTGTTTTATGTCCTTTTTTTTGAGCATAGCCGAATATATTATTGCTTATTAAATGCACACCTCCAGACAGGCCACACACCTGCCCAATTAACATTGCTCTTGGAGGCTTAAGGAAACCCTCTCAACCTATAAATCTAGTTACTTGAAGTCCTATTAACTGACTTGAACAGCCTCACTGAAGAAATGAGGCTGCTGAGGTGCACAAAGCTGGGGATGGATGGATGGATGGATGGTTTTCGTCACCAAGCATCAGAAAGCGGCTAATGATCTTCTTCCATGGAGCGAAAGGATGGGCTGTGTTTGGGGGTCAGGATGCAGTGCTTTGCGCCCGCCTTCCATCTGCCTTCCAACAGGTCACTTCCCTGCATCTTGGTGCTCAGTCAGGAGAAGACTCCTGCCATCTTCTCTTTGCCTCCTCTTTGCATCTGGATGAGTATATTGAACCATTTTATTAGTGGCTGTAGGCAAGACTTTGTGCAGCGAGGCTTCGCTCTGCCAAACGGGGGTAGAAGGAAGGAGCAGCGGTAATGAAGGTTTGTGCCAGTGCTGCTGGTAGCTGGCATGTCTTCAGAAGCGCCACAGATGTGATGGGAATGGGAATGTAAATGCTTCATCCTTACAAACTTGGTGCTTTGTTCATAATCCAGGCAGCATTCATACTGCACCTGCTGCCCGCATCATCCCTGCACGGGCATGGATTTTGAAATCAAGGAAATAAAAAATACTTGCTCTTTCTAAGATGACTTGCCACATCACTGAGCTTCCACCCACCAGCCCCCTTCCCAACAAGAAACAGCTGCCATGGATAAAGTGTGCGACAGTTTCTCCTGAGGGCTACAAGATCTGAGCTCTCATAGTTACTATTTTTTTCTAGAAAATTGTTTGTGCACCAGTTGCAATATTTTCTGGGTACAGACATCACAGGGATAAAATAGGTGACACTGCCTGTCAGCAGCAGCAGTGATTGCCTCTTCTCCTGCTGTCTGGCTCTGCCTGCCTGGGCTGAAACCTCTGGTTTGAGCCTGCCCCTTCTTGCCCAGCCAGTGTTATCCCATCCAGCTCAAGGCTGCTGTGCACAGCAGATCCTCATGGCATTTTGCTGTGCCGTGAGGGCAGTGGTAGGCTGGCAAAAGGAGCAAGCTCTCTCCACTGCCATTGGCTTTGCCCTGATTGCAGCACCAGGGAGTGGAGCATGGACCAGAGCTGATACTAGTCATGAGGAAAACATGGAGAGGTGACATCCCTTAAAGTACTGTGCTTTAGTCCATAGAAAGCTTTCCTAAGGACAAAGAGTACTGTGGGGTGGCTGTTTCGGGACACAGAAGATAAGCATTTGCAGTGACTTGTTCTGCTCACAAGTGAGAATACCCTTAGTGGAATCTCCCCAAAAAACTCCTAAGATAATTTTAAATCAGCTGTTTGCATGTAAATCATACCTTGGGCACCTCCAGGCTGCCAAACAGGTTTGTCTTCATAGGAGAGAAGTTGTGGCATCTTGGCTGACCGAAGATGGAGAAAGGAAGTTAGGAATGCCACCTCTGCTTGAAAATTAGGGAGAGGGAGATGCCCCTCTGGACTCGACTCCGAGCTGTGTCTTTACAATGTGCCAGCGTAAAAAGGTATGAAAAAGCAAATGCAAACCGGAATTATTCTGCTGCTTTTACTCACAGATGAGAGCTCTTCCAGCAAACCCAAAGATAAGAGTAGAGGGAAGGTGTGTATCAGGATATAAGCAGAGTAAACAGAGGTGTCTCTGGGGAGGGGACATTACAGAAGTTCATTCATCCCAAATGAGTAAGCAGAGACTCGCAATACAGTCCATTGCAAGGGTTGACCTGACTCAGGGAATCGACATTTTGCCAGTTTTGAGCCCTAAACCAAAACTGAACACCAGACTATGCCACTTTTGAGGCTGTTTCTCATCTTCCAAAGAGGACATATGCTTTCTGTCTAATGCTGTGGAAAACTGAGCACCCACTTTGTAATCCCAATATAGGGAAGTTGGTACTTCAGGTGGCAGCATCGGCGCTGTCACAGCCTCACATTGGGACGTTGCTTCAGGAGTCTGTCAGCTCCCCCTCAGGTTAGAGGAACATGCTGTTACTGCCAGTGGTCCTAGGCAGTCCTGTCAGCCCAGCCTGTTGTGAAGGTGAGACTTCCCACTGAAAGAGCCTGGCTGTAATTGTGTGCAATTTTGCTGCTTTCCAAACTATTCAGGCTGAAATTTTGAAGACCAGGCCTTTGCTTCAGGCAGAGGAGATTTTTATTTAATTTTCACGGGCAATTTCTGCAAAGTGTGATCAATCTCGATTTTCAAGAAGAAGGAGGAGGAGGACATCTCAGTTGTTTTACTTCCAAGCTTGAAAAGCTCTTGTGAATTTTCAGATAACCCATACAGTCCCCATGCTCAGGAACACTGGCTTCCAGCTTTTTCTGTTTGCTCTAGCGTGTCAAAAATGCGCCCAATCTCAGCAACCCAAGTGTGACCCAATTATGAGCCTTGTGGTGGAATAATAATATTGTTGTCAGTAGATACTTGTTAGAGTCTGGCACCTGAAACGTGGTCAGCATTGAGTATCTGCCGAAGGGCTGTTGCGGACTGTGAGTATGGTTCTTCCTCTGGTTCTTGATGCCACAGGTCAAATAGCAGAGGTCTGTGCTGTGGATCTCAGGCATCCAACCCCACCAGTCATAGATGGTGTATTGGGTTGGCATTAATCAATAGTTAATTTTCCCTGCACTTACAAAGCTGCTTCTCCGCTTTCTGGGTTGTCTGCTGTGTCCTCTTCTGGTGCTTGGTTGGGTTAAGTGGCACTGGCGTCCTTCTGACCTAGCAAACTCTCAACCTACCTCGACTCCCTCCAGGAGACTTGGCCACCTCACCTTGTATGCTGCTTCTCCTTCTGGGTTGGGCGGCGGTTCCAAGGGTGCCAGGCTCCTGTTGCACAGACAACCCCGAGGCTAGCAGAGTGCCCTGGTGACTTCCTAGTGCACATCATATCTATGTTCACCCCATGCTTGAGGTGTGATTTCCCATCTGCCTGGGGCCCTTGGAGGCAGCCTGCAGTCTGGCTGTTCCTACTGAGGGTCTGCAAAGAAAAATCTATACGTGCTGCCCTAATCTTCCCCTCTTTCTCCTATGGCTGCGAGGGGAAGCTGTTTATTTGAGTTGTAGGACTGGGGCTGCTGTAAATACTTCGCTGCTTTGGTGAACGTGCTGTGTCAAAGAGGTACAGCCTTGTGGCAGGTGACAAAGGCTAAGCCCGTGAGTGAAGATTAGACCAGCAACTGCGGATTATGGCATTTCTACCTGGACTCGCCCTTAATTCTATCTGATTTAAAATAACATGAAGCGGCAGTGGCGGTGACAAGTAGGGAGGACTCTTGGTGGCCCTGCCCGGTGGACCTGAAGCAGGGATGTTTGGCCTGTGAAATCTGTTGGGAAGGTTGGAGGGTGTTGGCATATGGGTGAGCGGGCAGGAGGACGGGTGGTGTCATGGGCTGGGCTGATGGAAAACTGGTGGAGAGAGGTGTGTGATGTGCAGGGAGATGGGGAGAGCGGTAGTGCGGCAGAATGGAGCTGCAGAGCAAGCAGGGCTGTGGATTGGGGGGGGGTGGATGGGCAGAAGAGCATAGTAGCTGTATAGATAAAATTAGTGAACAAATGCGTGTTAGAAACAATGAATTCCTGGAAGGGAAAGGAGTGGGTGGGAGAATAAATGCAGACTAAGAGGATTTCCACTACTTGGAGCCCTCGTACGCAGGCACCAGCACCAAAACCATATCCCAATTTACACTCCATGTCGCCTCCCTGTGTGTCTGTGGGAAGCCACCCTTACTCCAGACTGCAACTGCTTTACATCGCTTTAGATCAGATGGATAAAAAGGCTCAAATCTAAAAGTGTCTTATTTTAAGTTAATCCTCAGAAATAAAATGAGACCATTGCCCCGTAAATTCCCTGTGGCTACAGCCCAGGGAAGGCAGCGGGACAGGAGCTCAGCAGAGCAGAGAGGTGCCTGCAAAGGATGTCTGTCCCCTGCAGACCTCTGCTCCTTTGCGCTGGTCCAGAGAGATGAGGCTTGCCCTGATGTGTCTCCTGCCTCCCTCCCCGCCAGGTGTTCTCCATCGTGGTGTTTGGCTCCATTGTCAATGAAGGGTACGTGAACCGCCTGGACGAGTCACAAGAGCACTGCATTTTCAACCGCAATCGCAATGCCTGCAACTATGGCATTACCGTGGGTGTCCTCGCCTTCCTCAGCTGCCTTCTTTACCTGGCTCTGGATGCCTACTTCCCGCAGATCAGCAGCGTCAAGGACCGCAAGAAGGCAGTGCTCTCGGACATCGGAGTTTCGGGTAAGCTTGCTGGCTGGCTGGCTGGCCATAGTGCTCCTCTCTGCTGGCAAGGGAGAGGGATAGAGCTTCTGACACCTTGCAGGTCAAGTCCCTCCTAGCAGGGAAGTCTGTGTTCCTTACTCTCTCAGGTCTTCTCTCTCTCTCTCCTTTTCTTTCCTCAATCTGGCTGATGCCTCTCTGCTGTTCTCCATAGGTGTAGCTCAGGGAGCCCTTTAAAATCAGCAGGTCTTGCCTCCCTGCACGCTTATGCTTGCCAAGGCCAAGTGTTGATGTCTCTGGAGATGATACTTCCTTCTTTTCCAGCTCCAGGTGATTGAACCCTATATATTTTAACATAAAAAACGTTGAGGGTTTTATGCAGGCTGACTAAACCAGTCCTCCTAGGTTACCTGGCATTCCCCATGGGAACAGCTGTGCGGGACCTCATCCAGCCCTGAGGCTTATTCTAACTTATAGTCAGATCTCTCCATCCCCAGTAGTGTGTGGAAGTGACAGAGTGATGGTGCCTGTGTACTACATGGATGTGTAACGCCAGTCAGCAGCGTCACAAGGAGGCGCTTTGCTATCATGCTGTGATCCTGAGTCGCTCTCCTGGCTTACTCCGGCCATACAGGCAAATTTTTCCACATCAGGGTCCCCCCACCATGGTTTGTCAAAGGGGCCACGAGTGGAGCGAGGGCAGGATTGGGTGCAGCGCCTGAACTTGTTTAGGACTTCTGGCTTGCAAGTTTGTTCACGGTTAGCCCCTTGCCTAGCAGTCCTGTGTACAGCTAACAGGAGAGGGAGAAGGAGTGAGCCCTGTTTTGTTGCCACTTAAGAACACCCATTTCCCTTGCTGCGGGGTATCTGCCTGCACCTAGCAGAGAGGCTGAGTCCCACTCCTCTCCACCAGCTGCCAGTCTGGACTCGGGGCTCACCCCTATCTTCACCCCTTTCCCATGGTTGCAGTATGTTAATGATCCTTCAGCACCTTTCCACCTTTCGTCCATGTGAGTCCCTTAGCCTGTGCTGTCTCTGTGCAACTGCAGGCTGACTGCTTTCCACTCTTTTGCAGCTCCCTTGGAAGGAATTGCTCTTCCTTTGTCCTTGCAGGACAGGGTTGCGAAGCAGTGGCTGTTTCAGAGAGCCCAGGTGATTGCTCCTGTACTGGAAGCCCTTCAGGCTCCCTCCCAAGGCCAAATGCAAGTCCTGTGATCAATCCAAACACGAGCAAATGAACTCTCCTGAGTTACTTTCTGCAGACACCTATCATCACCTTGACAATTTAGCTGTCAGCAAGCCTGACAGTTCGCTTGGGCTTAGACAGGCTGCGCAGTCAGAGTTTGGCCCAGTCTGCTACACACTGGTGGGTCTTGCAGGGTTGAACTTTCCAGAGAAACATGATGTGTTTATGTTCTGTTCACACATACCTTCTTGATGTCTCTCCCCTTCCTTTTCGGCATGCTGGTGGTGGTCCATCCCAGCCTTTTGGGCATTCCTCTGGTTTGTTGGCTTCTGCTTTCTGACCAACCAGTGGCAAGCTTCAAAAAAAGAGGACAACCCAATGAATGAAGGAGGGGATGCAGCCCGAGCAGCCATCACGTTCTCATTCTTCTCCATCTTCACCTGGGTGAGTACAGCAGCCATGATGTTGGATCGAGTGTTCTCTGTAGTGTATTAGCTTGTGGGGAATGGAAGGTGACTGGCTAAGAGTGATTCCCTCTGAGATCTCAGTTCATATGGCTTCTGAGAAGGAAAAGCAGGAAGGGAGGTGGTTAGGAGGCAAACTTGGGAAACAAGGACTCAAAAACTTACATGGAAGAAGGTGCTAGAGCATTAATAAGCACAATGGGAAAGACAGTCCCATATCCCAGTAAGGAGTGTCCTTGACAAACCTCTGATATGACCTTGGACAAGCCAGCTCCCCAGGCATCATTTTCCCTGTCTGTCAGAGGACTTTAACAGCATTTTCACCTCACAGACACTAAGCAGAGAAGGGAGCTCCAGGCTGGGGGTTGCACCCATCTCCCTCCCTGCTTTGCTCCCATCATGTGAAATGTCATCAGTGGCCAGAAGAGGCGGCGACTGATCAGCGCTGATCAGGCGACTGATCCCTCTGGGATCTGCCTCTGCACCCACGACTGCAGCACTGCCTTACTGGGTCGCCTCTTAAAAAGATGATGGAGCTGTCTCGTAAGATTGCCCTTTCCCCAGCAGTTCTTTATTGCTAGTTTCCTGGAAAAAATGTGGTGTGCAATATAAATACCCCCATGGTTTCCTCCTGTCTCTGAAAGCACCAAGCCTGAGTGATTTTGGTCTGAAGTGACAGGATAGTGCCGAGCAGGAAGGCATTTTAGACCAGTCTCCATGTATAAGTCCTTGTGGCTTTATTTTCTCCTCCCACTATGGGCCTTAATGTTGGGCGGAGGCCGGGTAGGAAGGGTGCCATAAGACCAAGAAGCTTCAGAGAGGAAGGGGAACTGCAAAGAATTGTGCAGTCAGCACCCTCGCCAAGGTGACACCAAGCAGGGGCAAGGGACAACAGCGTGTGTGTCCCCCCCGCTAGCTGTGTCCTGCATTCGAGTGCTGCTGAAGAGCCCCTTGCAAGCTCCAGCAGAAAGTGTGACAAAGAGCAAGGCCTTTGTAAGAGGTCCCTCAGGACCCTTTTCAAGGTGCCACCACCTGCCGTGGTCCTCCCTGATGCAGAGGCTTTCGAGTGGCTAAATAGGCATCCTCTTCCCCAGGTTCCTTGGGGTTTTTATTTCAATCAAACACTCTGGTTTGCTCTTCCTAACTGATTCTCCTCCCACACCCCTCTCTCTCCTCACAGGGCTTCCTCACGTTTCTGGCTTTCCGGAGACTCAGAGACATTACTTTTCAGGAAGAATACAACACCCTGTTCCCTAATTCCCCATCCTTGCTGCCTTAGTGCCCCTCGCTGATGGGGGAATTTTGGGGAAGGGGCGAAGGGATGCAGCTGGAGGAGGTTACTGAGCAGAGACGGTTCCAACACCCCAACCACGGATGTGTGGTCACTGCAGGGCACAGTGGGAACACACTAGCCATTGAACTGGAGCGAGGTTATCCATTGAACAGGGGGTTGCCTTCTTGGGAGATGGAACTGGCAATATCTCCTCCTCCTCCTCCGCTCCCTTCACTCCCTCACCCATACCCTAACTAATGCTGCATAACACTGCTGTGCCTTTCTTTTGATGACTGCTCAGACCTAATACTTCAGCCAGGAGATGCCCTCTGCCCCCACCACTTTATCTCCTCCATTTCCTCCCAGCCCTCCTTCCCCAAAAACCTCTCCCCTTGTCACCTGCTAGACTGCTCACCTCTATCAGGGATGCTCTGGGACAATGAGCCATGCCTGCTGGAGTCTGCGTTTCTGAACCCCATGCCTGGGCTCCCTCAGTCCACCAAAGGGTGTCCTGCCTGCAGTGGCAGGAGGCAGAAGTATGCTTGCTAACCATCCCATGGTCTAGGAAGTGGCCACCTTGCCTCCTGCTGCTCCTTCCCAAGGTCTGTGCTGCACTGCGCGGATGTTGGCCGGTGAAGGGGTGACCACTACCTCGTTACTCCAGGTCAAACCCCGCTCTCCTTCCCAGCCTCTGCAGGCAAAATGGCTGCATACATCCAGCCCAGCAGACGAACCTGCTGTGGCGTTGCTGAGGCAGATTGCCTTCCCAGGGGCAGGAGGGGCTGAATGGGATAACCACATGCCAACTGAGCCTCTGCGACCTATGCCACGTGGGTGAAACCCCACCGCCAGGCAGGAGGTGCCCAGCACACCCCAGAGACAGCGGGGAGCCCCAGCAGGCTGCACGCAGCCATCTGGGCTTGCAGCCATCCCTGCCTAGACCTCCTCTCTCCTGGCCAGCTCGTGCTTTCCGTGGGGCAGCCTGAACCTCCATGCTCTCGGGGTTGTTTCACTGGCAGTCTGCCAGGGGGGCCTCGCACACTAATCCGTAACCACTACTAACTCCACTTTTGTTTGTTTCTCTTTCTCGGTACGTTCCCCCTTTCTTTCTCCCCTCTCCGCTTCCCATCTCTTCCCTCCACCTCCTCCCTTAAAGGTGGGCCAGTCATTCCTGGCATATCAGCGTTTCCAGCTGGGTGCCGATTCGGCCCTCTTCTCCCAGGA